GGAACTGCACTGTGGAAATGAGTGTATTGACCTGCTGCTGACTTTCTGTGTACCCTTCTTTTTATAGTTCCGTCTGTTCTTCTAGTTAGTTGGACGTCTAGAAAAGATATGCTATTATTCTGTTCATCTTCTGATGTAAAGTTAATTGATGGATGAACGTTATTAAATATATTAGGTAAATTGTGCTTTTCATTTTCTTTCTCTAATACTATGAAGGTATTATCTATATAGCGATAATAAGTTGGTAAATGGGTAATTGTACTTTTAAGTGGTCCATTTTCAGTTTTGCAAGGAAAATATTAGCCAGTAGAGGGCCCAATGGTGATCCCATGGCGACTCCATCTAGTTGTCTATAGTATTCATTGTCAAATCTGAATTGGACATTCATAGTGCATCTAAGAATTAACTGTTTTATCGCGGATGCGGGAATCGGGGTTTCTATGCGTCTCGCCGTTAGTTCGTTGCAAATAAAATCAACCGTTTCGAGTAGTGGAATATTAGTGAATAATGATGATACGTCAAGTGATATCATGAATTTATTCCCGACTGATAGATTTTTTTATGTTCTCAACAAATTCAAAGGAATCTTTGACACTATGTCTGACAACTACTTTGTGTAATGGTTGAAGAATTTGCACCAACCATTTTGTTAAATTATGATACGCTGAGTTATTCATATCTAATACTGGTCGAAGGGGCAAGCCACTTTTGTTTATTTTTGGTAGGCCATATAGTCTTGGTGTCACAATTCATTGATCACTGGGTGGTGATCAATGTCATGCTTGTCTAGTCCTTATTAGTGCAGATCGAATGCTATCGATCATGTTGCAATGTGGCCACCAGTCTAGGTGACTCGACACTGCGGACACTATGTATTGAGATTAGATGGTGGTTGGAGGTAGTCAACAGGAAACCCGGGTCCAGGGTTTCCTGTTGACTACCTCCAACCACCATCTAATAGTCTTGGTGTAATTGTTTCTGTAGGTTTCAACATTTCGAACACCTTTTCTGAAGTAAAACCTTGTTGTTTAATTTCTTTCAGTGAATCAGTTAGTTGTTTTTAATCTTAACTCCCATGTCGTTTTTCACAGCCAGTTTCTGAAATTTCCTTTTATCATTTAGAAGGGCTTTCATTTTGATTATGTAGTCATTTTTATCCATGAGTACTATCCCATGTCCTTTGTCATGTTTCGTGATTAACTGCACTTGGTTAATAGAACTTTAGAGTTCAAGTGCATTATCTTCTAAATATTGTTGCATAATACTTGCACAAACCATACCAACAAATTCAGACCCATTACAATCAGAGATTTTCAACAGTTATAATTACACGATTAATTTAACATAAACATATTCCATCATAGCTATATAATGAAAGATTCATTCTACATGCCTCGAGAGAAAAACATTTCGGGCAACAAATGTATCTTATGGGAAGAAATATTTGCCTTGGATCAAACCAAGAATTTTTGTTTTTACATCTTACAGATTGTGTACATATCCCATTAGAAAAAAAATAACAAAAAGTCCGTAAAGTTAGTATAGTAAAAAATAAATTTTCCAAATGTTATTAACATCCAAATATGTCTTTTCATAACATATGATTTGTATCAATTAAGCTTAAGTTTCATAAATTATTTAACAGGATCCATTTCATCATATATTTCTAAGTGGAAAAGAAAATCACTTAAAATCTTCTATATATTATAGAGTATACATATGCCATCAAGTTATAAATAAACTAGGAAACGGTACCATAGTAAACAACCAATTTTATGTGGTGATATCAACCTTCATCTTGTTATGTTGTCGAAAGTATTTGAGTAAAGTACCTGAACACAAGGTTTTCGACGCTTTCCTGTAGTCAATGTCACAGCCACTAAACTTATCCAATCCTGTAGTCAAGTACTTAGCTTACTTGGAGACGGATGACATGATGCCTATATCCATATATATCATACGACTTTAACTGAACTTAATGTTACAGAACTCGAAATGGAGAATTTGTGATCATTTAATTTGTGGTCATTTAATTAGACAAGTAAGCCATAATGCCTTCGGAAATACTCGTATAAACTAAAAACATAGGACGTTACTTAGAGGCATACTGCTCTCAGGCACCAATTACCTACGATCAGATAATTTACATCATACTGTCGAGATACTAAGCTGAGTAACAATAGTCGAAAGGTGATCGCGAGACAATATAAAAATGATTATCACCCAGTAGTCCGAGGTTTATGTCTTTTTTTACATTATTAGACTGAATTCAAATTTTATCCTAAAAAAGTGTGATGACTCAGCGCTAGCTGAGTAATTCGAAATATCAACGCAATAGTAATACAAAGCTTAACGCAATTAGTGAACTCACACAAATATTTTTTAAATGAACTTACACTATGACCCAAATAACTTTTGACCCAGCACCCAAGAAGATAAGAAGAAGACAAAAGAAAACAAAAGGTTTATTCCCCACTCCAACTGAGGATGGTACAGGGAAAAATGCTTGGGTGTTTATACATTTTCGGTGTATCGTTGTGAAATCAGTCTTGTGGTGCTTGATTCAATGGTGCGGGCGCGGGTTAAAAAATTCCGTTTGGTTGATTCTGATTAAAATATTTTTGGAAACATTACAACTTAAAATATTGAAATTTCCCATGATGTAAATAAGAACAAAACATGAAATTAAACAATACTGTCTTCAATTAGATCCTCATCAGATTATGTTGTAAAAGATCAAACAAAGATAATACGTAGCTCTGTTTTATTACACTCGGTAGACAATGGTCATATAGTAGATAAAACTGAATCATTTCGCACAATTTACGGTAAACTATTATTTTTCAAGGAAGATAAATCTCATCTCCTACATACTGTGTGTAATGCCTCAATATAGTCTTAATTCAAATAAACAATGCCAAATGAATTTAAACTTTACCCCATCACACAAGCAAGTGGCTATCAGGACTCAGTAGCTAAGTAGATAACGCGATAGCGTTTGAAGCGAACAGTACTGGGTTGGAGTCCCAGAGTGAACATCAACTGTGAAATGCAGGTAAATTCAGCTGACGAGTCTCAAATGGGACGAGACGCGCGTCCTAGATTTCATTGCTAGTCATTATCCATCTTTGCATATGGTGCTTGGGAATTATGGCTATATCGAGGCAATACGCACATGTGCCAATAAGAGACTGATCAATAGCAGTCCTAAACATCAATAGGAAGATTCAAACAAACCATAACAAATGAATTTTACTGAATTTTCACATCCTTTGATTCTTTATTGTCACCCACTTTCGTATATGCTCATCAATATATGAATAAACCCTTTTTACTCAGTAACTTTAGTATTTTTCTAGTGATTGTAACTTTAATGTTTATCTTTTTAAGTTCTAACCAACTAGGAAGTTGTTCGAACGCCTATACAGGTTGTTATTATTCTGATCACTACTAGTATACCAAGCAATTAATACATTTTTACTTATTAAGTTTAATTATGTCATCTAGTTTAAAGTCATAATGGACTCATAAACTCCATTGATTGGTTAAGTAATTTTCATCCATGCATATAAATATTAGTTTCAATAGCTGAGATCACGAGTCAATTAAAGCTAGACCACTATGGAAAACCTGGGAGCACTAGATGGCCGTTTCGTCCTGTTGTGGGACTCCCCAACAACGCACACCCACGATCTCACCTCGCGGGATTCGAACCCAGGACATATCAGCCTCGCGCGCGAGCGCTTAATCACTGGACCATTGAGTCGGCATCCAACGGTGTTAATGTCTAACTTAAACTAATCCACGAAGCTGAGCGACACATCCCCCATTGTTATCAGTGAGTTACTATCTCACAACTGACCCGGTTGAACTCCACTGGTCACTGCTTCTCACTAGAACTTAATGATATATATTTTGAAGCCAGTCACTAGTGAGCATATGTTGATTATTATCAGAAGGGGTTTTGTGGAGATTTTAGTAATTTCGATTGTTGAGACCATGGGTCAATTGAAGCTAGACCACCATGGAAAACCTAGGTTTGAATCCCGAGAGGCGGGGTCAAGGATGAGCACTGCTGAGGAGTCCCACAATAGAATGAAACGGCCGTCTAGTGCTTCCAGGCTTTCCATGGTGGTCTAGCTTTAATTGACTCATCATCTCAACAATTGAAATTACTAAAATCTCCACAAAACCCCTTCTGATATAAATATTACTTTATATTGAAGTATCGGTGAACATGTGAATCATATAAGCTACCTGTAGCATTTAATGAATTTATAATTTTAATGTGCAGTTAGTTGTGAGTAGCATATCTGTAACGCAAGGTGAAACTGATTCCACTCATAAACGGAGGTTACTTATAATGTGGTTCATATTTATGAATATGCAGATTTAGCATTAAAATAATTGAATAATTGAGGATGCACGATACTTTCACCGTAAAATGTATATAAGTTGGCGTTTTTATCTGAAATAACATGAAATTAATGGTTTAAAACCACTAAACCCAAGAGAGTACAATACACATCATGTTGCCTCCAAAATAGGATCTAAGAACTCATTTCTTTCCAAGAATTATAGATTCTACAAGACAGTCAGGCATCTATAAACGGACCTATTATCATGAATAAACAATTTCCACTCAAAGTCCAAAGTAAAGGATAACCCTTAAAAAGCAATCTAAACTAAGCAGTTGAAAAAGCCAAGACGTTAAACAGGTAAAAACCTCAAATATTAAAATATACTGAGCAGTAAATTGAAATAATAGAATAAAACTTGCCAATGATACCATCTAACATTTTGACTAAGCATCTGCGGTGGCGAAATTATAAAATATTTATATCTTTACCCTAAGAGCTCTTTTAATTTTAAGCTTGTTGGTTTCTTTATGATGACAGAAATTTGTTGGTCAAACATAAATATTTTAAAAAATTTACTAACTCCAAAATGATATACGATAATAATATTGAACAAGAGTTGACAATAAAATACAAACTTACACGACGTATATCATCCAAAGTATGAATTTCCGGAGAAAGACCACCATGAACGCACAAAAACTGTTGATTCATCAAAGCTGCCAACGGTAAACAATCGAATGCTTCCATACAGGCTTCATAAACTTCTTCTGTATATTTTATCTTACCTAGAAATAATTTAGAAAAATATATATAAGAATTAAATAAAACGTAACATATATATTATAAGACATACTGTAAGATATAATGGAGTAACCTAAGGTAAAAACTATGATATTCTACAAATAACTAACGTGTTTAAAGAATATTTAACATTGTCAACAGTCGATTTTCATTTCGTACACAATACAACCAGGTAAAATATTCCGGAACCACTATCTACTGCTATATTGAATATTTTTTAAAAGTGACTTTCAAATTTTTATCTTTAGTATGTGAACAGACCAAAGCACTGTTGTACAATAAATACGCTCATTAACATTGTAAAATCATTATGAACCAATGACAATACATATTGGTAAACAATTAATTATTTAGTACCTGTAAACTTTAATTGGTGACAATTCACACATCAGAAATTGTAACTAAAACTAAAGATCTTAACTTTTCAGATAAAATATGTATATTGTAATTCAAAATGAATTCATTAGGGATACATATAAGGCAGTGAAAATACAATATGATAATTATAAGAAATTGGAGGTTGTTGAATTTATAGAATATATGGGTCAAATGTTCAGTAAATAAAAACAAGTGTTATCTTAATGATTTTATTAGCGTTAATTATACTTTATTGATTATATATGTATATATTCTCCATAAAACGCTACATTGACACTTTCATGCACTCGCTAGTGACTAATTTCGAGAGGCGATTCTAGGAGTTTTAGTGAAAAGCCGTGACAGATAGATCTTAACAATGCTGGATGAGAGATAGTCATAAATAGGATTACATGGTCGAGTAATACCATTAAATGACTGAAGTCACAAACGTAACTAAATATTGAGAGAATACAACGAAACCTGGAGGTTCTAGGTTCAATCGTTTGTGAGGTCGTAGATGCGCACTCTTGTTGAGTGTGATACTAAAACAAAACAGCTATTTATTAATTACTGACTTAAAATGAATAAAAAACTAAGGTCAGTCGGAAATGTAAACTTTAAAATATCCTTACATAATGAATAATTATAGATATGTTAGAAAATCTTGACTTTCACTTCGCGCTTTTATTCACTTACCAACAGAGTTTCACTTTAGAAGACATAATTGAGACAATAAATCAGACAAATTAAAAATTCCTTCTAAACCAAAATTCAAAACACCTGACACAAAACAAACAATACATGCTTATAGTTAGGTTAAGGCAAATATATTTGGGAAATGAACAGTTACGACAATAGTCATAATTAATTAAAACAAAGTTTTTGCTATTTTTATGACCTACATTTTACTGCACTGCATTTCTGAATATGTCAAATGAAGAGAAATAAAGAGAAACAGAAAAGAAACTAAACACAAGAAGAAGAAGAAAAATACGACTTTTTATTTTTGTGAAAAACCAACTTTCAGATTACATCATTGATAAGATCCTGTAAAACATAATTTCTAAAGTTCAGATCAGTTTTGAATAAAACAGTTTGGAGACATTAGAAAAAAAGTGGAGGATATTAAGATGAAGTTAGAAATATTTTTTTACTTCTCAATTGAAGTATTCTAAATTTAATGAATTATTTGTTCGTTTATTTCCTTTGAAAACATTCAATATAAAAGTTAATTTAATTTTCTAAAAACACATTTTCAATTCCCATTTGAACTATTTTGTATAATAATAATTGGTATCATTGCCAAAGTTTGATTTCATAATTTTAAATAAATTGAGCATTGGGTAGAAAGTAAATAACAAAATAACTCATATAAATATTTAATAACATTATGTGAATTGTTTTGAAGTGGCCTCGGTATACCGCCTAGATATTTAGATAGGAGGGTACTTGTGAAATCCACTATGGGACTTGGTGGGATGTCAGATTTGTGAGTTTTCAGAAGCTTATAAAAACGTAATGCAATGTTGGATAATAGTATAATAAACATAATACGACCTAAAAAATTTTCTATGAATATTATTAAAAGTATAATTCTAATGAAATATCTTGGAATGCTATCAAGTTTTACCTTACTGGCAAGGTACACATCTGGAAAACATACAAAATTAAAGCTTTCCATGAAATAACCAACACACTTAGAAACGCTTTAGTTACAATTAATGATAAAATTGTGTCAACATTCATATAGAATTGTGTCTACAGACTAGGTTGTGTCGATTGTGATGCAATCTATTTCGGAAAGTCTTACCATGAAATCTCGACACGTACCAAGGAACATTTAAGTTACACAAAACGATGTCATAAGCCTATAGAGTTGGAAAATCTACAAATCAAATCGCCAATACCAGTGCATAATATTTTCAATAACCACCAAATAGATATTTAAGAAATATGAAAACAATTCAGAAACGTTTTTCCAACTATAAAAAGAGGAAAGTAGGTGAAGCGTTTCGGATGATGCTAGCCCCAATAGAAAAGAAGGCCAAGCTATTTATTTAACTTGAAGTGTTTATCCAAACAACCACATATAGCTGTTCATTTCCCACACAATCTACATACATTCAGATCTCAACTCTATTTATTTATATGACAAATTTCACATTTTTCATACCCACCATCATAGTGGTGTCCCATACAGAATCAACTTGACTAAAAAAGATCCACATGACATTGACATAATCAGACCCATTTTGATTGAAACAGTTATTCCACCTTGTTCCTTTAATTTGTTTAAACTGGTATTAATTTCATTCGGTTATTTACTTATTTAATCTGAAGAAGTGAATTCCATCACGTCATGAAGCGTTAGAAATCCAAACTTCTACTCATTGGAATATCAAAAATATATCATTATTTCATTACAATAATAGTTGTGTTATTAAAAATGAATCAAAATCCGACAGTTGACTTTGAGTGGAACATAGATTGGTTTTTAGCATTTTATTGTCTCACACATAATGAACAAGTGAAGATGAAGTGCAAGTTTGAAAAATACAAAGGTCAGTCGATATATATTAAAGCATTTTTGTTTTTTGTAACAACCGACCGAATTATTCTATCATACATAAGTAAATAAATTACAGAATGGTTATGAAGATACGTCGCGTATGAGGTAATCACCTATTGAGATAGCTGTGAAACACCACAAATTTATCCAAGGTAGGAATGTAATCCATCGGTTGCCAACTCAGTGATTTTAATGTTAGGCATTCGCCGTGAGACCCAAAGGCGCAATATAGAACTTTCAACACAAAGTATTTTCAAAAGTTTCCGTTTCTTATTTTTTGATCGATCCTGACGATAAATATTGAGTGATCGCCATTTAGATGTTAGTCGTTCAGGAATCAACATCTAAATAATGTCCATTCATTCCGATGCATATTTCCAGCCACTACGCTGCTGAAAGTACTTTTTTGTGACATGTAGAGCGAAAGGTCGTAAACTTAAGATAAACGCACCTGAAGAGGTGATGCGACTAATAAACATAATGATGTATTTAAACAAAAAAAACATAACTTGTTGAAATACCTGGATGACGGAAACAAATAGCCCAGGTATACAAACAGGCCGCCATCGTATTGCCTATAGCTTCTCAATTTTCAATGATTGCCTAAATAAGGTTAGTACGTAATGTAAACTACAAAATTCAGCGATCTACACAAAACATACAACTGTTATTAACCTGTCAGTCAATAAATATGATATCAACAAAAACAAATAAATGCAATACTACGTTTGAAGTGAATGATTTTTGCGATAAACTGATATTAGCTAAAGATTAATTAAAAATCATAGAATGATGCATATCTGCAACGTGGCAACTTTCTTAATTTTCAACAGTTCTTTAGATGCTTAAGTTTATTCCATAAAGAAAATTACGATTCTATATATATATATATATATATATATATATATATATATATATATATATATATAACAGTTGTAATATGAGCTTGTTTTTATTAATAATAACAATATAAAACAATTCGAGTGAGAATAGTTGATTCTAATGTAAATCTGATTTGAACTGTATCGAATAAAAAATTACACAAATACAATCACTGTGGGAAATAGGTTAATAGTCAATGTTTAATGTTTAGGAGTATAGGACAAGAACAAAACAATTGTCCGATGTTTTCTATTTTCCAACAGCAAACCATTCCTAATGAAAATAACTATCAAATATAATAGTAATCTTAAACTGAAAACTATAATTTAATATTTAGTACAGTAAATCTAAACAAGCCGAAAGAAATATATGGTATTCATTGAAATACGACTAATAACAATAGTGTACAGAGAAAAACCTGAGAGTATCATGGGAAAATGTATAGTAAGCGTTACAACGAAAGGTCGATTGAAATTATCAATCACATAAATGAACCATTCATTTGAGACGATAGAAAATATTTATAGCTCAGAACGAGGATGTGTTATGTTCTCTGAACAGGATAATTTTGGTGTGAAGCTTTCGTTGTACTTAAGGGAATCACCATGAATTTCCTTAATGTTGCTTGGTTAGTTTTCGGTCACATAGTATATAAACTTGATTTGTAATTGTCTTTATTCTACAAATATGTACATATATATGTGTGTGTATTTAAATAAATACCCAATATTAGTTTGTGTTTTCCTAATTAAACAAAAAATAAACATTTTGATTCAATGTGTTGGATAAAGGTTTGCATTGACATGGTAAGTATTAAACAATATTCTTTATTTACAATACAATATTGATAAGGACGAAAATCATCTACTTTAGAAGTCTGTTTACTATATTTTTACACATTATTCGAGGGATAAGCTTTACATAGTATAAGCTACAATATTGGACCGATTTTGTCGATTATCATAAGCCAAAAATTGAAAAAAACTGATAACGCGTTGATGAATATAAATATAACGATTAAACTAGTCGATAATAAGTAACCTAAGCAGATGTTTGCAGAGAAAACGACAAAATAGGAATATACAAGACGAGCTACAATATTTTATGTATTTTTTGTACGTCAAATATCCCTGTGGGCTACATTAATTACAATCATACATAAGAGATAGGCACATTCATCCTACACTTTTCGATTCATAAAATAATCAAATGTTCATTGCTCCAGGCAACTTTTACAAGCGTGATTCTGTTTAATATTCTGATATATGTATAGATATACGCAAGTACACTTTCAGTGTCATTTGCGTATAATAAAACAAATTGCAGTATAGTACAAACTTCTTTATTCTGTTCAGGATTTTAAAAATTATTTTATACTTTACATTTTCATTGTTGAACTTTTTACAATTCAACCGAAGATCCCGTAGACAATTACAGTGCGCACGGATGAAAAAGCAACAACGAAAGCAAGCAAGAAAGTAAATAAAAAAGCTGAACATGTACAAAATTCAGAAACATACCTACATACAAGAACATACGTGTATATCAACAATAATTTTGTTTTAAATTTTCCCCAAAACTACACTATTAAAATCTAAGTTGACAAACACATTAGACGGTACAGTAATAGCACGACGGGTATCCAGCCTGTGTGCATAAGTGAAATCCTCCGGTAACAAGTAAAAAATAAACAAATGTAGGAAAACAACTGAAATGTCACAAACACATATACACATATGTGAATACGACTACTACTAGAAAATATTCTATAAATTGTTTAAGAGTATAAAGTAATCTATAAATCAAAAATCACGGATTACATTTATGATAGAAAAGAACACTAATTTATTGTTTCACAATTCATTAAACGTAACAGTGATGTAAACAGCGGTATTCGCATTAGTTTCATATTTTAATTCACGAGTCCATATGAGCTGGACAACCATTGGAAACTAGGATGCACTGGAAGGTCAATTTGTTCTAGTATGGGACTCCTCAGCAGTGGGCATTCACGACCCTACTCGTGGGACTCAAAATCAAAGCCTTTAAGCTCACGCCCGAACGCTTCACCTCTAGACCATTGAGTTGACACCAAACAATGTTATCGGTAGTAGTTGAACACATACATCGGCATATTTAAGATATTCATGTATAAATTGAAAAGTAATATTCCACGCAACATTCAAAACAATTGTAGATTTATTCAAAGCATAATTGTAAAACCAAAGTCGAACACGTTCAATAATCTGGTATGAATGGATTATTTCGTTACATCGCAGTTACTGAATATCACCATACCTTTCCACATACACACACATACAATATGTACGTACAGGGATTCAAACTATACGAGTTAGTAAGTTGCTAAATGTTTAGCATTTTGCATATTTGTTCAGTATACCTCAAACAATTGTAACATTCTATTCAGGATGTTCAGTAGAGATTACAATATGCAAGAAAATATCTGTCCTTCCAGTTGTAACCCATTCAAAAGCCAATGTAAATATACTCCACATTTTTAAGTTGCATGAATCATTTTACAACAAGACTGTACGTCAGTAAACGATCGGAGAAACAAACGACAAATTACATAAAACGTCAAATAATTTCGTTCTAAAAATTTGGTTAAAATATATCAAGAAGATAAAGCTACTGTTTATCCGTGAAAGTCAATGATTTTTAATGGTTTGATTAAGAGACATATCCAGTACTCTTAATCTTTTGAAATCCGAACACGAAAAGAAACTAGTAATAAAACTTAAGTCTGTGCCTTAAAGTTAGTACATAAAATACAAAACAAAGAAGTTTAATATGTATCAATATAATCGTGGAGAGATAGAAAGCTCTATAAAATGTCTAAAAAGTAATAACGCATTCATTTACTTAATCTAAATGTGGAGTGTATGCAAGGTGGAAAAAACAATCCTGGGACTTACTCAAAGTGCAGACTAGCTAACAAACATTCTGAACGTTTAAATAACTGTAGAAAATTGACAGAAAACTACCTATTTAAAAACCATTTGGACAGAGATTTAATTGGATTCATTTGAAATCTCTTAAATGGTCTTTCTGTGACGATCCATCTTACGGCATCGCTAAAACTGTTCAGTAGATCTTTTGGTTGACTTTCATATAAAATATTTATAATATTTCGAGGATTTGACTGGAATATACTCATTAGATCGATTAGAAATCTAAATAAAATATTTTCGTGGGAAAAACCTAACTGTCAGATAAATATTAATATTTTGTCCAAATGCCCCAGCATCTACGTAAACTGAAGTCATTGTATTTTTTACCAACAGCTAGATTAGATTTTGTTGTCTACTTTAGACGACAGAAAATATTTATAGCTCAGAACGAGGATGTGTTATGTTCTCTGAACAGGATAATTTTGGTGTGAAGCTTTCGTTGTACTTAAGAGAATCACCATGAATCGTTTCTCCAATATGAAAACTTCAACTTCAACCTCGATGCTGTATATCAAATTATTGCAGTAGTTCGTAAATAACTCTTTCACACTAGTCTAATAGCAAGTCAAAACTGAAAAGATAGCAGTAGTCAATATTTAAAAAATAGGATTTAGCCTTATCTGATATATTGATATGAATTTCTTTTTCCTGAAAACTGGAACAACGTTATCCCCTAATTTCACTAAAACAAGCACGGTGAGAGCTAACCTATTATGTTATAGATAACCTGAAGTGTAGTTTGTATGTTCGAATAGCTCAGTGGTAACATCTCATACTGTGAAGATAGGTGACATAGATTCTGATTATATAGGGATACCATCCTCCTCGAATTGCAATTACGCCTTAATGAAGAATGTCAAGTAGCACAAAAACTAGGTCTACGGTTTCCTATTGACTACCGCTTGATGTACTCAAGTAACAATAATTAAGAAACTCTACTGACACCACAAAGAAAGATAAGATATGAGTATGTTCACTGACTGTAGATATATTTGCAATGCTGATGAAAATGCGTTCATTATATCACTCACGAATATATACAATCAGGTTGGTAAAGAAAAACAGGAGTGTTGAAAGTTTAAAAAGTACGATGGACATAATAAAGGGAAATCTAAATCGTGTATTACGTAAAAATAGAAATTAAGAATTGAATCCTTAAAGGATGGAATGGTTCATTTATACAGTTAATATTATCATTTATTCGTCTGGTACACATCTCACTAACCATAAACAATTAGTTACTACAACAATCTACAATAAAACACAACTACAAATTTGAAAAGATAAATTCCTGTAAAGACAGAGAAAGAAGGAGAAATATGAATATTAATTCGCATACCAGCTAAAGAAAATATATTTCATTTCTCAATAATTTCTGAGGTGTACTTTTATCTGTACATCTGTCTATGACATATTTTACATGGAATTCATGAGATTAATTAGTGAAATGGAAGCTTTTTCTGGGTATGCTTATATAAATACATAGATCGGAGTAAAATATTGATAAGACATGAATTTTAGGAAAAAATATCAAACAAAATATCCTAGGTGTTTGAATATTCAGTGCTTTACAGATGGTATTTAGCAAGAAGAGATCACGACAGCGAAAATACTGAAGTAATTTAAACAAAAATAGTCAAGTTGTTAATTGACGATACGAAAACA